CCACTGGCCATCACATACAGCCCCCAGCTAAAACCTCTCCAGCACATCATCAATAATCTACAACTTATCCTGGAAAACGATCCCTCACTCTCACAGACCCTGGGAGGCAGGCCAGTCCTTGCTTATGGACAGCCCCCCAACCTGAAGCAAATACTCACCAGCAACTACACACCACACCACAGAAACATTAACCCAGGAACCAATCCCTGTAGCAAACCCCATTCCCTACTCTGTCCCCATATCTACTCTAGTGACACCATCATAGGACCCAACCACATCAGCCACACCATCAGGGGCTCATTCACCTGCACATCTACTAATGTGATATATGCCATCATGTGCCAGCAATGCCCCTCTGCAAAGTACACTGGCCAAACTGAACAGTAACTATGTAACAGAATAAATGGACACAAATCAGACATCAGGAATGGTAACATACAAAAGCCAGTTGGAGAACACTTCAATCTCCCTGGACATTCAACAACAGATTTAAAAGTAGCCATCCTTCAACAACAAAACTTCAGAAACAGACTTCAAAGAGAAACTGCTGAGCTACGATTCATTTTCAAACTTAACACCATTAATTTGGACTTGACCAGGGACTGGGAGTGGCTGGCTCACTACAAAAGCAATTTTCCCTCTCTTGGTATTGACACCTCCTCATCAGTTATTGAGAGTGGACCACATCCCCCCTGACTGAATTGGCCTTGTCAGCCCTGGTTGTCCCCTTGTAAGGTAACTCCCTTCTCTTCATGTGCCAGTATGACTATGCCTGTATCTGTAATTTTCACTCCATGCATCTGAGGAAGTGGAGATTTTTACCCACGAAAGCTTATGCCCAAATAAATCCATTAGTCTTCAAGTTGCCACCGGACTCCACGTTGTTTTTGTAAAGTCATATTTTGTCAGGAGTGCTTGCTAATTTAGAATCCTAAATGAAGCTCAGTGATCAATACAATTATCTCCTGAAGAGATCTAGTCACTTAATGTCCTTATGGAGTCCAATTTATTAAGTCCTGCATAAAGTCTTTCAAAAGAAAAGGAGAACTTGTGGCACCTTAGAGACTAACCAATTTATTTGAGCATAAGCTTTCGTGAGCTACAGCTCACTTCATCAGATGCATACTGTGGAAAGTGTAGAAGATCTTATATACACACAAAGCATGAAAAAATACCTCCTCCCACCCCACCCTCCTGCTGGTAATAGCTTATCTAAAGTGACCACTCTCCTTACAATGTGTATGATAATCAAGGTGGGCCATTTCCAACACAAATCCAGGTTCTCTCACCCCCCACCCCCACACACAAACTCACTCTCCTGCTGGTAATAGCTTATCCAAAGTGACAACTCTCCTTACATTGTGTAAAACTCAAACTTAAGTAGTCTTTATCCCAGTTTCAGCTGGTCCCAGCCCCTCCTCCCTAAGGGCCTGTCTTCTTCCCAAATGCCTCTTGCCTGGAGTTTGGCGTTCTCCACAGGTTGATTCAAGGCCCTGCAGGAGCCATCTCACTCCCTGCAGCATCTACAGGAATCCACCAACAACCACCTGCATGTGTCTCCCTGTTTATGGGGCTCAGAAGCCTCCTTAAGCCTTTGGTCCAGATGCACTGGACCCTGCTTCCTCATAAAAGGGCCAGTCACTCTGTGACATACCCTGTGTTTGACAGTTCCTAAGTGAGAGAAAGTAGCAATGCTCACAACAGCTTAGACACTATCTGGGCTCACTTCTTGTGAGCGAGGTTTCTGCAGGTATTCTGGCGACAGTCCCACTGGAAATGGATTCAGAAGATGGGTATGAGTCCTCTGAATCAAATGACAGTGCCATCAATACCGGAGAGGAGTGTGATCTAGCTTGACTCATAGACAGTACTGGTGAAGGAAACCACATGGTAGCCTGTGCTGACTCAAGTCTTGGTTCATAGAATCTTAGAATATCAGGGTTGGAAGGGACCTCAGGAGGTCATCTAGTCCAACCTCCCTGCTCAAAGCAGGACCAATCCCCAATTTTTGCCCCAGATCCCTGAATGGCCCCCTCAAGGATTGAACTCACAACCCTGGGTTTAGCAGGCCAATGCTCAAACCACTGAGCTATCCACTTAGGCTGCCCCTAAAGATGCGGGGATTCTGGTTCTGTACAGACAGTGAAATTGCTTGGCACTGTATGTGGAATCAGTGCCATTGATGGAGGATTTGTTGTCATCCTCTCTCTCGTTGGTACCAGAGGTGCCATGCTCTGTGCCAATATCAGCCATTTTGAAGTTGCACTCTGAATCAAAGAGCATTCATCTCTCCATACAATGGCTGTTGGTCCCATCGGCATCCATTCAGTCAGTATGGAATGATTCTGTACTATGGGGAGCTCTTCTCCAGCAGAATTGGTGCTGGTTGGTGGTGCCAGGCCCTCTGACTTAAATGTTACAGAGCCAGGATCGCAGTTCTTATGAGCGCTGGATATGCCCATGCCATGGCAGGGAGTCTCATGAGATGGGGAGGACAGGCTCTTCTCTGAAGATGACTTAGAAGGAGATTTATTCCTCTTCTCTTTAAGGGAATGCTTCAATCTCCCTTCCTCACTCTTTCCCTAGTGCTTCTTACCACTGTCCTTTGAAAACTATTTCAGAGAAGGAGCTTTGGAGCCAATCAACACTAAGCTTGATGGAGCACTCTTGAACTCCTGCAGCTGGTGTACAGAAGGTACCACAAGCCTGAGTCCCAGTCTACCCTCATGGGCCTGTCCATTAGAAACATTTTAAGCCAGCGGTCTCTGGATTGCATCATCCTATGCAATAACAAGCAGCAGATACCACAGTTAGAAGTAATGAGAGTCTGTCCGAGGAGCAGAGGCAGGTGTCGTGGTCTTCCTTCATAAGAAGCAGTCGGAGACAGACCACACAGTTTTTAAATCCAGGCGACCTGGGCATGTTAGGAATCAGTTCTTCAAGAGGGAGATGAGTGGCGGAGTTAAGTCCTGAAAATGATCCCCCTTTGCACTTACTTTCTACTGTAGGCAACAGTTACCTAAATATAAATAAATACACATACACTTATATATAAATAACAATACACACAAAATCAAATAATTAGCCAAATCTCAACTGGCTACAGATACAGCTCACTCCATCTCAGGCCAAGGACGGGGAGGAATTGGAGTGGTAGATGGCTGGTGCCACCTTTTATATCCTCGGAAGGGAGTATGACGCTAGGTAGGTGCATGTATAAGCCAATGGACACTGCTTGTGAGAAGCTTCTGGTCTCAGCACGTGGAATGTGGACTATAAGGTGGATAGAAAGTTGGCTAGATTGTCAGGCTCAACGGGTAGTGATCAATGGCTCCATGTCTAGTTGGCAGCCAGTATCAAGTGGAGTGCCCCAAGGGTCGGTTTTGTTCAATATCTTCATAAATGATCTGGAGGATGGTGTGGATTGCACCCTCAGGAAGTTGCAGATGACACTAAACTGAGAGGAGAGGTAGATACGCTGGAGAGTAGGGATAGGATACAGAGGGACCTAGACAAATTAGAGGATTGGGCCTAAAGAAATCTGATGAGGTTCAACAAGGACAAGTGCAGAGTCCTGCACTTAGGACGGAAGAATCCCATGCACTGCTACAGACTAGGGACCGAATGGCTCGGCAGCAGTTCTGCGGAAAAGGACCTAGGGGTGACAGTGGACGAGAAGCTGGATATGAGTCAACAGTGTGCCCTTGTTGCCAAGAAGGCCAATGGCATTTTAGGATATATATGTAGGGGCATTGCCAGCAGATCGAGGGACGTGATTGTTCCCCTCTATTCGACATTGGTGAGGCCTCATCTGGAGTACTGTGTCCAGTTCTGGGCCCCACACTACAAGAAGGATGTGGAAAAATTGGAAAGAGTCCAGCGGAAGGCAACAAAAATGATTAGGGGACTGGAACACATGACTTATGAGGAGAGGCTGAGGGAACTGGGATTGTTTAGTCTGTGGAAGAGAAGAATGAGGGGGGATTTGACAGCTGCTTTCAACTCCCTGAAAGGGGGTTCCAAAGAGGAGGGCTCTAGACTGTTCTCAGTGGTAGCTGATGACAGAACAAGGAGTAATGGTCTCAAGTTGCAGTGGGGGAGGTTTAGGTTGGATATTAGGAAAAACTTTTTCACTAGGAGGGTGGTGAAACACTGGAATGCGTTACCTAGGGAGGTGGTGGAATCTCCTTCCTTAGATATTTTTAAGGTTAGGCTTGAGAAAGCCCTGGCTGGGATGATTTAGTTGGGGATTGGTCCTGCTTTGAGCAGGGGGTTGGACTAGATGACCTCCTGAGGTCCCTTCCAACCCTGATATTCTATGATTCTATGAATGCATGTACAATCAAGCTCTTGAAGAATGAGTTGGTTTTCCTTATAAAAATGAAATACTTGTTTTTAAATAATGTTTAAGTATAATTATTTATAATTTTTTTTTATCACCTCTGCTGAATGAGTGCACCCTGCCTTGTTTACTGGATGAGATACTGGTCATACATATATAACAGTACCTGATCATATAACTAAAGACTAATGTAATGCATATGCACAAACAGGACACATGTTAAGGTTATACCGAAAAACTTAACGTTGGCCATTTCCTGGTTTTTGAGTGTTTATATGGAATTTCCTGGTACATTTTTTATTAGGGCTGTTGATTAATGGCAGTTAACTCATGCAATTAACTAAAAAAAAATTAATTGCAATTAAAAAAATTAATCGCGATTAACAGCAGTTTTAATCGCACTGTTAAACAATAGACTACCAACTGAAATGTACTAAATATTTTTGGATATTTTTTGACATTTTCAAATATATTGGATTTCAATTACAACACAGGGTTGGTCCTGCTTTGAGCAGGGGGGTGGACTAAATGACCTCCTGAGGTCTCTTCCAACCCTAATCTTCTATGATTCTCCTCAGACATCTGTTGCACCAACCCCCACAACATCTTCTCTGATCCACAGCTTGTCCCTGTACCACTCTAGTCACAATTGCCATACCTGAGGGAACGTGCTCTGCTCATCCAGGAGAGACAGCAGCCCCAGCGGCTTGGCCAGGAACAGGTCCTGCAGCAGGAGAAGGAAAAGAGATGAGCCCCTTACCTAACAGGGAGTGAAGGCAGTCCATCCTCTCCTGAGAGGCCATCTCCCCTCCATCTGCTCACTACACTCTCTGCCCCCACCTTCAAAAGAACTTTTCCCAAGATCCTAACCCTCCCAACACTGGATATAGCACTTCCTCCCTCCCTCCCTCGGGCCTCTGCCTAGGGCTAGAGGGGTCTCTCCCACACCCAGCTCTAGGTCACTCACCAAAATGGGTTTGTTATTGTTGAATGTAATTTCCTCCCAGGGCAGCCCTTCCTCCTGGTATGCGGCCTGCTCCAGTTGGAAAATATGCTGAGACACAGAAGAGAGTAAAATTGGAGCTCCCAGCAGCACCAACAGCCTTCAGCCAAGTCATGCATCCTTCCCCTCAACACTCTACATGCAAGGCAGAGTCACAGCTTCAAACCTCCCCAAGACAAGATCACTGCTGTGAGCAATCCCTCTGTGCCAGGCCCACCATCCAATGGTAACCCCTATGCATGAGGAGGCCTCTGCTCCAGGATCACCACTCTGGGCTCCCCCAGCCCCATGGGGGCCCTACCGTACAAGGAGAGGTCACCACTCTGCCCTCCCATGGCTCTCCCAACGCCCTGCGGAGCACCCTGCCAGGCCAGAAAACGTCACACCTGGAACTCACATAATTGAAGAAGTGCTGCAGCTGCTCATTGGCCAAGTTTATGCAGAGCTGCTCAAAACGATTCACCACAAAGTTCTCAAACCCAAAGATATCCAGGATCCCTAGAAGGAGGGAGATGAGCCTCAACATAGACCCCTGTAGACTCACCTATGGGGTGGCTGAATACTCCTTAAACTAAGCCCCCAACTTTGGCAGCTAAATACTCCCCTCCCTGAGCCCCTTGCCTTCACACCAAGCTCTCATCCCCTCAGAGACTTGGCCTTGTGAGACCCTCCCCCCCCCCCGCATAATGCTTCTTCCACAGGCTGCCATGACACCCCTGCACTGCGTCTCATTCCCCTCACACCAATCCCATCCCTGCAGCCAGCTACACCCCAGCTCCCTCCACCCCACAGAGACCCACCTCACAGAGAACACTAGAACTAAATCCCAGTGAACTCTAGTGAGACTCCCAGCAACAATCCAAACCCCAGCACAAGCTCTGCCCCATTGCAAAGACTGCATTCTTCCCCAGAATTACATCTGTGCAGCCAGGTTCCTCTTCTGACTGTGTCCTCCAGAGACACTGTGAAAATAATCTTCCCCAAGGCTACCATCTCCTGGGAATTACAACCCTGTATTCAGTCCTAGAGACACCTCCACCCCCATGGTGCTTTGTCCCTTTGACTGTAGCATGTGCATTCAGGGGGCTGACAGGAGCAAAATAGTTGGGACTCACCAATCTCCCTCAGCTCCACCTCAGGATCCACATTCTCAGCCAGCAGTTCATTGATTTTGCGGACAATCCAACCAAACACGCGGCCATATACCACCTTAGCAATGGAGTCCCGGGCATCTGCACAGCCAGACAATAAAGAAAGATGGTCACCTAGCCACAGGTGCTCCTTCCCCTCGAAGAACTTCTGAGCTTCTCCCTAGGCCACCAAGAGGTCCTTGGGGTGGGACCCTCCTCCACCTGGGGGCCCAAAAGAACTAATGGCTCCAGAGGGAGGACTGGGTACCGTTGCACATGCTAAATAGGGAATGTGGGGCCTGGGCTATTTCTCTGCACCTCCCCCTACATGTGATTAATGCTCTGTCTGGAGTAGATTATGAAGCTCTGTTGAGACTGTAACTAGCTATCCATTACAAGATGGATTTTGACCCCTACCCACCCTTAAGATTCCTTGGGAAGACAAAAAGATAAGGAGTACTTGTGGCACCTTACAGACTAACCAATTTATTTGAGCATAAGCTTTCGTGAGCTACAGCTCACTTCATCGGATACATACTGTGGAAAACACAGAAGATGTTTGTTTTTATACACACAAACCATGAAAAAATGGGTGATTATCACTACAAAAGGTTTTCTCTCCCCCCACCCCACTCTCCTGCTGGTAATAGCTTATGTAAAGTGATCACTCTCCTTACAATTTGTATGATAATCAAGGTGGGCCATTTCCAACACAAATCCAGGGTTTAACAAGAACGTCTGAGGAACAGTGGGGGGGCGGGCGGTAGGAAAAAACAAGGGGAAATAGGTTACCTTGCATAATGACTTAGCCACTCCCAGTCTCTATTCAAGCATAAGTTAATTGTATCCAATTTGCAAATGAATTCCAATTCAGCAGTCTCTCGTTGGAGTCTATTTTTGAAGTTTTTTGTTGAAGGATAGTCACTTTGAGATCAGAAATCGAGTGACCAGAGAGATTGAAGTGTTCTCCAACTGGAATTCTTGACATCTGATGTGTGTCCATTTATTCTTTTACGTAGAGACTGTCCAGTTTGACCAATGTACATGGCAGAGGGGCATTGCTGGCACATGATGGCATATGTCACATTGGTGGATGTGCAGGTGAACGAGCCTCTGATAGTGTGGCTGATGTGATTAGGCCCTGTGATGGTGTCCCCTGAATAGATATGTGGGCACAGTTGGCAACGGGCTTTGTTGCAAGGATAGGTTTCTGGGTTAGTGGTTCTGTTGTGTGGTATGTGGTTGCTGGTGAGTATTCGCTTCAGGTTGGGGGGCTGTCTGTAGGCAAGGACTGGCCTGTCTCCCAAGATTTGTGAGAGTGTTGGGTCGTCCTTCAGGATAGGTTGTAGATCCTTGATAATGCGTTGGAGGGGTTTTAGTTGGGGGCTGAAGGTGACGGCTAGTGGCGTTCTGTTATTTTCTTTGTTAGGCCTCTCCTGTAGTAGGTGACTTCCGGGAACTCTTCTGGCTCTATCAATCTGTTTCTTCACTTCCGCAGGTGGGTATTGTAGTTGTAAGAATGCTTGATGGAGATCTTGTAGGTGTTTGTCTCTGTCTGAGGGGTTGGAGCAAATGCAGTTGTATCACAGAGCTTGGCTGTAGACAATGGATCGTGTGATGTGGTCAGGGTGAAAGCTGGAGGCATGTAGGTAGGAATAGCGTCAGTAGGTTTCCGGTATAGGGTGGTGTTTATGTGACCATCGTTTATTAGCACTGTAGTGTCCAGGAAGTGGATTTCTTGTGTGGACTGGACCAGGCTGAGGTTGATGGTGGGATGGAGATTGTTGAAATCATGGTGAAATTCCTCAAGGGCTTCTTTTCCATGGGTCCAGATGAAGAAGATGTCATCAGTATAGCGCAAGTAGAGTAGAGGCGTTAGGGGACGAGAGCTGAGAAAGCGTTGTTCTAAGTCAGCCATAAAAATGTTGGCATACTGTGGGGCCATGAGGGTACCCATAGCAGTGCCGCTGATTTGAAGGTATACATTGTCCCCAAATGTAAAATAGTTATGGGTAAGGACAAAGTCACAAAGTTCAGCCACCCGGTTAGCTTTGACATTATCGGGGACAGTGTTCTTGACGGCTTGTAGTCCATCTTTGTGTGGAATGTTGGTGTAGAGGGCTTCTACATCCATAGTGGCCAGGATGGTGTTATCAGGAAGATCACCGATGGATTGTAGTTTCCTCAGGAAGTCAGTGGTGTCTTGAAGGTAGCTGGGAGGGCTGGTAGCGTAGGGCCTGAGGAGGGAGTCTACATAGCCAGACAATCCTGCAGTCAGGGAGCCAATGCCTGAAATGATGGGGCGCTCAGGATTTCCAGGTTTATGGATCTTGGGTAGTAGATAGAATATCCCAGGTCGGGGTTCCAGGGGTGTGTCTGTGGGGATTTGTTCTTGTGCTTTTTCAGGGAGTTTCTTGAGCAAATGCTGTAGTTGCTTTTGGTAACTCTCAGTGGGATCAGAGGGTAATGGCTTGTAGAAAGTGGTGCTGGACAGCTGCCGAGCAACCTCTTGTTCATATTCCGACCTATTCATGATGACAACAGCACCCCCTTTGTCAGCCTTTTTGATTATGAGGTCAGAGTTGTTTCTGAGTCTGTGGATGGCATTGTGTTCTGCACGGCTGAGGTTGTGGGGCAAGTGATGCTGCTTTTCCACAATTTCAGCCCGTGCACGTTGGTGGAAGCACTCTATGTAGAAGTCCAGTCTGCTGTCTCGACCTTCAGGAGGAGTCCACCTAGAATCCTTCTTTTCGTAGTGCTGGTAGGGAGGTCTCGACATCTCCGACTCAAGGAATATTTCCAACACACCTCTTAACAACATACTAATCCACAGAGACCTCCCTACCAACGCTACAAAAAGAAGGATTCTAGGTGGACTCCTCCTGAAGGTCGAGACAGCAGACTGGACTTCTACATAGAGGGCTTCCACCGACGTGCATGGGCTGAAATTGTGGAAAAGCAGCATCACTTATGTTGGCATACTGTGGGGCCATGCGGAACCACCTGATCAACATCCTCTACAGCAAACAGGGAAAGATAAAGAATGAGCTCTCAAAAATGGATACTCTCATAAAATACCAACCTTCCACACAAACTTCCTTGTGGCTGGACTTTACTAAAACTAGACAAGCCATTTACAACACACACTTTGCTTCTCTACAAAAGAAAAAGGACACTAAACTTTGTAAACTACTACATGCCACAAGGGGCCACAGCAATGGTTCCCTCAACCCACCCAGCAATATTGTTAACCTATCCAACTATACTCTTAGGACAGCTGCTTCTGCTGGGCCTCTCCTTCTGCCCCTCCACCCCCACGAACATGATACAGTTCTGTGGTGACCTAGAATCCTATTTTCGACGTCTCCGACTCAAGGAATATTTCCAACACACCTCTGAACAACATACTAATCCACAGAGACCTCCCTACCAACACTACAAAAAGAAGGATTCTAGGTGGACTCCTCCTGAAGGTCGAGACAGCAGACTGGACTTCTACATAGAGTGCTTCCACCAACGTGCACGGGCTGAAATTGTGGAAAAGCAGCATCACTTGCCCCACAACCTCAGCCGTGCAGAACACAATGCCATCCACAGACTCAGAAACAACTCTGACATCATAATCAAAAAGGCTGACAAAGGAGGTGCTGTTGTCATCATGAATATATCGGAACATGAACAAGAGGCTGCTCGGCAGCTCTCCAACACCACTTTCTACAAGCCATTACCCTCTGATCCAACTGAGAGTTACCAAAAGCAACTACAGCATTTGCTCAAGAAACTCCCTGAAAAAGCACAAGAACAAATCCCCACAGACACACCCCTGGAACCCCGACCTGGGATATTCTATCTACTACCCAAGATCCATAAACCTGGAAATCCTGGGCGCCCCATCATTTCAGGCATTGGCACCCTGACAGCAGGATTGTCTGGCTATGTAGACTCCCTTCTCAGGCCCTAGGCTACCAGCCCTCCCAGCTACCTTCGAGACACCACTGACTTCCTGAGGAAACTACAATCCATCAGTGATTTTCCTGATAACACCATCCTGGCCACTATGGATGTAGAAGCCCTCTACACCAACATTCCACACAAAGATGGACTACAAGCCGTCAAGAACACTATCCCCGATAATGTCACGGCTAACCTGGTGGCTGAACTTTGTGACTTTGTCCTTACCCATAACTATTTTACATTTGGGGACAATGTATACCTTCAAATCAGCGGCACTGCTATGGGTACCCTCATGGCCCCACAGTATGCCAACATTTTTATGGCTGACTTAGAACAACGCTTCCTCAGCTCTCGTCCCCTAACGCCCCTACTCTACTTGCGCTATATTGATGACATCTTCATCATCATTAGTCATGCCTGACTAATCTAATCGCCTTTTATGATGAGATTACTGGTTCTGTGGATGAAGGGAAAGCAGTGGATGTATTGTTTCTTGACTTTAGCAAAGCTTTTGACACGGTCTCCCACAGTATTCTTTGTCAGCAAGTTAAGGAAGTATGGGCTGGAAGAATGCACTATAAGGTGGGTAGAAAGCTGGCTAGATTGTCGGGCTCAACGGGTAGTTATCAATGGTTCCATGTCTAGTTGGCAGCCGGTATCAAGTGGAGTGCCCCAAGGGTCGGTCCTGGGGCCGGTTTTGTTCAATATCTTCATAAATGATCTGGAGGATGGTATGGATTGCACTCTCAGCAAATTTGCAGATGATACTAAACTGGGAGGAGTGGTAGATACGCTGGAGGGGAGGGATAGGATACAGAAGGACCTAGACAAATTGGAGGATTGGGCCAAAAGAAATCTGATGAGGTTCAATAAGGATAAGTGCAGGGTCCTGCACTTAGGACGGAAGAATCCAATGCACAGCTACAGACTAGGGACCGAATGGCTAGGCAGCAGTTCTGCGGAAAAGGACCTAGGGGTGACAGTGGACGAGAAGCTGGATATGAGTCAGCAGTGTGCCCTTGTTGCGAAGAAGGCCAATGGCATTTTGGGATGTATAAGTAGGGGCATAGCGAGCAGATCGAGGGACGTGATCGTTCCCCTCTATTCGACATTGGTGAGGCCTCATCTGGAGTACTGTGTCTAGTTTT